TGAAAGTGTGCACACACTATAGCAAAAAAAATCCCTCTTTAAAAATATATATATATATAAAAATAAGAAATAAAACAGGCACACTTAACAGCAAGCCCTGACCCAGGAGGCTGGCCCGCACATCTGGATTCTTCCTCTCCATGCTGTGGAAGACATTCGGTCAGCTCCTACCCACACACTTCCCAACAGGTGAATTACAGATTTCCTGCCTCTGCCATCAGAGAAGCTGGGGCAAACTCAACTGCAATTATATTCTCATTTCCAGAAAGCTTATTCATGCACCCGTCCTTCCCATTAGGCTGCAAACTGCTAGAGGGCAGAGGCATGTGTCTTGTTTATGAATAGAACTCGAGACACAGACCCAAAACTACATTTTGACATTGCCACGACTACTGAAGTTAAGGGCAGAGCACAAAAGTTACAGGTACATGTGCAAAATGATGAAGAGTGGGTGGTAAAACACATGTTTTGTTTTGTTTTCAGAAAGGTTTTTACTGTAGGATGCATGCACTCGCCAGAAAGAGAGAGACAGAGAGACAGAAAGCGAGAAATCACCCCCGGGGCGATGGCCACGCCACAATCCCTTCTCCTCCATTCTCTTCTCGGGATCTTTGGCACACACACATAAGCCACCGGGTCTGGGACTTGAACCACAGTTGACCACATGGGAGTCCAGCAACATAACCATTACACCAACTGTTGGTCCCAGTTAGAGAAATGTTTAAATATTGAGTTATCTTGGGGTCGGCAGATGATGTGGTGGTTAAGGCACTGGACTCCCACATATTCTACTGCATGTCGAGTCCCGGACGTGGCAGCTTGAAAAGCACACCAGGTGCATGTGCGTGCATGGCTAAAATCCTGAGAGGAGAATGGAAGAGGGATTGCAGCATGGCCATCCCCCCAGGGCGTTATTTCTCACTTCTTGTCTCTGTCTCTGTCTCTCTTTCCAGTGAGAACATATACCTTATGGGGGAAACCATTCATTTTTTTTCCCATTATGTCCAAGTATAACTTCAGAAAATGTTTGGGAACCAGCAGTTAGCGGAATGGCTATGTTGCTGGACTCCCACGTAGTCGACTGCAGTTCACGTCCCGGACCCGGTAGCTTAAAACTCACGCCGGGCGCGTGTGCGTGCGTGCCCAAGATCCCAAGAGGAGAATGGAGGAGAAGGGATTGCAGCGTGACCATTCCCTCTGGGGGGTGATTTCTCGCTTTCTGTCTCTCTGTCTCTCTCTGTCTGTCTGGCGAGCGCACGCGCCCTATAACGAAAACCTCTCCAAAAAAAAAAAATGTTTGAGCTGGGTTTTTTTTTTGAGAGAGACAGATGTAAAGTTTATTTACTTATTATTCCATGAGGGAGTGAGAGAGAGAAAGGGGAGTAGAGGATAGACGCTCCTCATAGAATCTTCATACTGTGTATATTCAGAGAAGTCTTGGGACACAAACCCAAAACCCTTCACGTGTGGTCCTGTTGCGTTACTGCTGTGCCACTGCCCGGCCCTTGCCTTTTTAGCTTGATTGCAATTAGAAATTAACTCCTACACCTGGCATTATACATTTCTGTCCTCTTTTTCTCCCACCCTGTTAAGCAGCCATCAATAAACAATTATGTAATTGCACTAGGAGAACCCACCATTTAATGGATTCTTCTGCTGAATCCTCTTACAATGGAAATACACTTCCCTTTAATGTATCAGGGGTTTTTTGGGTTTGTTGTTGTTGTTGTTGTTGTTGTTTGGAGAGGTTTTTGCTATAGGGCCCGTGCACTCGCCAGAAAGACAGAGACAGAGAGACAGAAAGAGAGAAATCACCCTCCAGGGGAAATGGCCACGCCACAATCTCTTCTCCTCCATTCTCCTCTCAGGATCTTGGGCATTCACACACACGCGCCTGGCACGAGTTTAAGCCACCCGGTCCAGGACTTGAACTGCGGACAACTACATGGGAGTCCAGAGACATAGCCATTAAGCCAACTGCTGGTCCCAATGTATCAGTTTTATCTGTTTCATTTTCTTTATTAGTTTTTGAACGGGGTGCATTTCTACAAAGGCCTTATTTAGCCCTCACTGCCATGTCGGGCTGCCTACCTACGGTGTCCAGGTGGACGTTAAAGCATTCAACCTGTCTTCTGTCTTCCCTTTCTTTTCTGTTCCCTCTTCAGATCCCCTATCTGGGGTTTTGTTCCTGTGAAGAACTCGGAGAAACGGGAATATGGCAGCTCACAGACCCACCCATCCTCCCTCTCACGCACGGGCCAACTGGAGGCTTTAACTGGAGGGAGACTTTGCTGCAAGAATAAGGCTCGCGAGTGAAGGGGAGCCAGCAGCCTGCTGGAGAGGCGTCTTTTTGAGCGTTGAGCGGCAGTGGGGAGTCCGCCTGTTCTCAGTGGACGGCTCGGGATGACCATCATTCTTCCTTTCACGCTTGCAGTTCTTAGGATGAGACTGGGTAAATGAGATAAAGGCTTGCTTCAGGGGAAACAAACCAACAAAACACAGTCTGGGCTCTTGTCTAGCTAGCAAGGCTTTTGAATCGTCTTCCTAAATCAGGGCAGTGCCCCTGCCACCCCAAGGCTGAAGGAGCCTCATCCCCCCCATCCCCCACCCCCACCCCCACCCCACCCACCCACA